TTCTCAAGATACATTTTTGTAGTGATTCTTTTTATGAAAATCCTACTAAACTATTGTCTTTAAAGTCAATATATCTATATGCTAAATGTTATTACTGAAGAATAGTTGCCAGTTTTGAATCCAGGACAAAATCCCAGTTTCTTATCCTCAAAAGGAAAACATTCAAGTCCAAATTTGTTTCTTGTTATTTATGAGACTGGGATTTTGTCCACTTTTGGGATAAGAGGATAGGATTTTGTAAGGTGATCCCCAGTCTTATTGCAAAAGCTGTCATCAAGTTATATAATTATTTCCATGAAAGATTATTTGCTATAAACTTTTTACATCAAATAGTGAAAAGATATTAAGTTACGAATTGTGGACACTATAGAATATTGGTTTTTATTTTCCAGATACTTTTAGTATAACCAAAAAGAGTAAATAGTAACTAAATTACTTTTAGAATGAAACTAATTATTTGGTCATTATTTGCTAGCCAGAATTTTACTTTTATGAATTCATGATTAGTACAGTACCATACATGGGTTAATAAACTATTGCTGACTAGGTCATAGTATTGAAGGCTCATTTGTCTAATAAATATTAAATAAATTAGATGCACTGATGTCAGAAAAGACGTAAATAAGGAAAGCAGAGTACTTGCTTTAATTGTCCTATTGTATCTTGTAAAATAACAGAAATAAAAAAGATAAAAAGGCCCAATAATGAGTGCAAAAATAAATTTCCAAAACTACCATAAATATATTTATTATAAAATTTGCCTATAGTTGTAGGATTACTTAAGACAATACATTTTGATGCATCTTTTGGATCAATGAGAATAATTACATAAAAGGTCTATGGTTACTAATGAATGTCTACTAATCTTAGTTCAGTTGGATACAAGGCTGAATGAGAGAAAAATGGTAGAAAGAAGATTGTATTGGTGCTGGTGTAAAATATGCATCTTCCTACCAAGCTGACCAATGTCTAACATAACAATGTCATAAGTAGATATGAATAGCAAAGCGATGGATCAGGTGAGTGTTTTGGGTGGAGATAGATGCAAAAGGTGGGGTGGGGTGGAACTGTGAGTAAGAATTTGCATAAAATTATTTTTGGAGCTGGGTGGGTGAATAATGTTTTAACAGTATTTATTTTGCTAGCAAACATGCCCTGCTGCATCATATAATCACTAAAGCTGACAAAAAAGAAAAAGAAAATTAGTAGTATAATGTATGCAATTGTAAAATTAAAAACATTGATGACAAGCAATAAAAGATTATTATTATTATTATTAGTGTATGTTATATATCCTGCTTTATATCCTGCTTTGTATCCCATAGAGCTGGGTGCTTAGGCCCTACAAGAGAATTATCATTTAATTGATAGTACTCTTCTTAGTATATGGGATGTTCTTTGTAGAGCGATCTTCTGGGCAACCTCTATGTTGATGTCACCTGGAACACTGTTAGTAAAATTGTGCATTCCTTTCCTCATGAGGCCTAGAACTCCAATTACTATTGTTACAGTATCAGTCTTCATTCCCCACATCCTGTTAATCTTGATCTCCAGGTCCCTGTAGTTGGACAAGTTCTCAATAATTTTTATGAAGGTGTTTCTCTCAGATTGTACTGTCATGTCAATAAGCAATTCCTGAATTAAATTTCTTGTCTTTTATGATAATATCAGGTCTGTTGGCCTTTATTTCTCTGTCAGTTTGAATTGTCATATCTCAGAGGATAGTTACATCATTATTTTGGTTAAACTGTCCCTGGTTGGTGCTCATACCATCTTTCAGTGGTTTAGATTTTGTGCTTCTTGCATATCTTCCAGTGCACATGTCACTGTCTTGTTATATCTGTAGGTACGGACATCCTGAGATATTATGGTTGACAGTTTCATCATATTTTCTGCAAATCCTGCATTTAGAATTAGTTCCATCCTTGATTATGCAACAGTGAGAGGATCTGGTTGCAACACTTTGGTCCTGATTGCAATAATTAGGCCTTCTGTCTTAGCTTTCAACCCAGTGCTCCTCAGCCACTGATGTATAATCTGTTGGTCCACATCTGCTTTTTTTTTTTTTCTTTTTAGGTATTTGCTATGCAATGCCTTGTCCTCCCAGTTTTTTTTTGTAATACTATTTGGCCAAATTCTTTTGCTTTCTTTTTTACTTGTTTGGCATAGATGGTATTCCCTTTATTTTTTATTGGTAGGGCTTCAGGAAGCTGTTTCTTGAAGAATGCAGCTTCTTTGTTGATGGAGTGGATTTGGTGTTTTACTATTTGTAGGAGAGGGTCATTGATTTTTGTGACGTATACTTCCAATCCAATTGTTGTAGTTTTTTAGAGTTGGTTCAAGTTATATTAGACCTTGGCCTCCTAAAGTTCTTTGGTTCATACAGCCTATGAAAATCTGATTTTGGGTGGTGTATCCTCATTCAGGTAAGCATTTTTCTGGTCTTGGCATCCAATCTTTTAATATCATTCAACTTTTGTTTAATAATGTATGTTACTATGGATATAGCTAAGGTGTTGATAACCTTCATTTTATTGGCCCCATTATGTTCACTAGTATCAAACGCACTCTCCTATAATATTCTTTTTGGATCTTTTTCTTCATAATTGAATGTTGTATTGTCTCCTTCATCAATTCCTAAATATTTGTATGTATCAGTTTGGTCTAGTTCCTTAATCTTGTTGTTGATATCAAGATCTAAATCTGTATCTTTTGTTAGTTTACCATTTTTGAAGGTGGCTTTGGCACATTTGTCAATTCCAAACTCCATCCTAATGTCTTCGCTGAAGGTTTTGACAATGGTGAGTAGGTTTTTCTTCTGGTTGTCATCATTGGCAAATGTTTTAATATCATCAATATAGAATAGGTCATTCAGTTTGCCATTCTGTTGAATCAGCAATTCTATATTGATGATATTATTATTATTAAATCAACTAGCCTCTGTTACCTAGTTTATTTGAAAAAAGTTATTTGCATTCCAACCTTTATTCAAGTAAGTGACCCTACTTTGGTTTGTTACCAAAGTTTTAGCAAATCCACTACACCTAAGAACTTGAAATGTGGTAACAGAAAAAAAAATGTTCAAAGAAAGCTCAGAAATTAGTCCATATAAAAATCTAAAAATGCTTTCATTTTAAAGTCTGAACAATCAATTAAACCAATTTTTCTAGTGTTAATTTACATGGGACACAAATAAAAATTCAAATAAATATATTTTCATGAGTTGCCATTATTTTTTTTTCTGTTCTGTCAACCTGTTTAGTCCGGTTTGTCAGGTTAGGTGTTGTTGGTTCCTAGCAAAATATTCTTATTAGTCATTCTAGAGTTAAAAGTAATCAGAGGTTTTCATGAAAATATTGCCTTTTAAGCAAAAATGATGCGGTAATTGGTCCATTTTGTTTTCCCCTGAGTCTTAATGAAAATATAAGAAACTATTTTTACTATAAGTGCAAAAGAAAAAAAAACATTTTTTGTATATGCCTGATGCAATATCAATGTCTAAGGAGATTATAGAAAAGCATTTATTTTACACACTAAATCATTATTTTTAACAGCCACCTCCATTGTCAATGCACTTCAAACAACAGGTTTCTATTAACTGCTTAATTCAAACAATATACAGTGAATATTTAAGATCAAAATTTAGCTTATAACTGTGTCAAGCTACAGACTTGGAGATCTACTATAGTATACGTGTATGCAAGAATACAGTACAAGTGCCTCAGTAGGGGGGGCAATGGTTAGCGAAACTAGACTGGTTGACCATTACTACAGAATAGTGTCTCCACACAAAATCTGACATTAAATATTCTAACAAGGGCTGACAGGTCATAAAAACCAACAAACCCACCTACACAATACTGTCAGTTTAAATATAAGTTTGAGATAAAAGGTTACACTTTATTAAATATTCACTGGCAACAATTTAAAAACTATATTTTGCAGGGAGAAACATTAAGGCACTGATAAATGGTCTCTGCATTAATCTTTATTATGCTATAAAATGACATACACAAACGTTTGGAGGAAAAGTTATTGTATAAAAAAAAAAAAAAAAAAAAAGGATGTATTTGCTTATTTAAATATACATGTAGTCATGAAAATGCTGTTACATGCCTGACTAAAATGATAATTAAATATGGATACATACTGCAATGTTAGAAAAGGATTCAGGACCCACCAAAGCACCCCATCCCCCAATGAGTATCATGGTTATAAAAGAATGTGAAAATGGTGCAATGAATAGTGATCCAGGATGAGAATTCTAGCAGAGATCATTACATTCACTTAGTAGCAAGTAACATTATGAAAGATATGAATCTCTTATCCCCATAGCTGTGGGTTAAATAGCAGGCCAGACCATGCTATTTCTGGACAACTCTGAATTCAAAAATATAACAATTATTCATGATCCCCAACCCTCAGCAATGAGGATGGGAAGAAGCATACATATTGTAAGAGTTCTAATTAATTTTAAAAAATGCATCATTCTAAACAACAGGTAGATTTTACTTTGTTCTATTTTAATCAGTGTGGTTGGCTTAAAATTACTTCAGTATAGGAATTGTCTAAGAAAAGTTATAGCTTCATACTGGAAATAATTTTCTCAATTTGTGTTTTTTAAAAAAAAAACAAAAAAAAACATTAAATTTCTTGTTTATTCAAATATAAATTGTCATTCATTTCTGAAATGAAATTTGCAAATAAAATTAAAATTGTTATAAAAGAGAAAAAAATTCAAATACTTTTCATCAGAGAGAGAGAGACAGAGACACAGAGAGATAGAGATTTGTTTTTATGACTTATCAACCTTTTGCAGGTTATTTAAAACTGGAAAATACTTTAGATTGTAAGAATGTTTTGAAGATAATGTTGGTTTTACAAGTCCTACTAAGGGTATTTGTGCATAAATGAATATAATGAATCCATCTGGAATTAGAACTAGAGCCTCCAATTTCAAATTCAATGCTATTATCCATTACACTAGTCACACATCCAAGCTTACAGCTGTTGATATTCCCAAGTGGTCACCGATCCAGTTACTGATCAGGCTTGACATTGTTTAACTTCAGTGATCATACAAGAACTGGTGTTTCAACATGGCTGTAAGACTTCAGTTAATAAAAACAAAAAAAAAAAAAACAGTATAATTAAACAATGTTTTACCTCTCAATTAATCATGGTTAATACTGCAACAAATGTTGGTGATTTTTCTAAGTTTAGCATAGATGTGGAACAAAGCCAATGTATGGGGCACCCAGTGAGGATCAAATTAACTATTCAGTTATAATTGATCTTGCAAGACAAGCTTGCTAACCATTGCACCATGTTGAAGTGGACACTTTAATAAATATGGTGAGCCAATAAGTGAAAATACAGAATCTGAATTACAAAGCATTGTGGATGGGCCTAATATATGCACATATACATGCATAAACAGATTTTACAAAATAATTCTATATTTTCAATACTTGTTATTCAGTAATTATAATACTACACTCAAACATAGAACTGATATCAGCATTGCTACAACATTAAAAGATAATATATTTATAAATTATCATGTAATGCTTTTTGCAAATGTGTAAATGTTACAGTTTTGAATCTTATAAATTCTAATAAGCATACACAGAACTAAAATTTTCCTGATGACATCCATTCATCAGATATTAAAATTAAGTCAGTTTCATTTTTTTGTTTGTATTTGTACTTCCAAGTAATGACCACTACTATTCCTCCTCACAAGAAAAGCAGACTTATCTCTATCTATATATATATATATATATATATATATATATATATATATATATAGTGCAACAGAATACTTTTATTATAAATTCTGGCAGCAGATTCCTCACAATAAAACAAGGACAAAAGTCCTTGTTTTTGAGTCATTAATTTTAAAAGAAACTTTACTGTAAAGTTGCTGTGTTACCACATAGACTAGGTTACATTTCTCATTTGTGTACATTTGTGGCTAGTCTGTCTTCAATGTTTAACATGTGTAGTAGTGTGTCAACTTAGAAATGCTTTGTTTAACAATGTCATGATATGCATATTTTGAGCAGGCAGATATGATTTATACATACAGCTGCACGAATGGAAGTGGACACAAGGTCGCATGGCTGTATCAGATTGTATTTCCAGACCAAAGGCAACCAAGTCATCGAACCTTTTGTTATTTATAGTCGTGTTGCTGAGATAGGATCTGTGGCACGACAAACTATTGAATAAGCAAGACCAATATTCACTTGTATGCCTGACCACAAAAAGTCTGTCAGAGACAATCCAGGCATCAGCACACATAAAATGGACCTAGCATGTCATACATCTCATAATACTGCATGGAAGTTACAACAAGAGCATCTCCTGTATCCATATCATTTGCAATGTGTGCAGGATCTTTCTCCCTTTGATCTCTCACCATGGGAGAACTTTTGCCAATGGTTTATTGAACAAACTGTCAATCTATCATTTGTCTCTTTGGTCTTGTTTACAGATGAGGCAACATTTAGAAGAGAAGGAATAACAAATTCAGAACATTTGTTATGAGTTGCTGTGTTGAGCTACAATGATGGCCTTTTGGACATATGTTTATATAGACATTTTACCTTTGTTTTAGTGTCAAGAGGAACATGCCTCCAAACTTTGTAAATTGATACACCATATTTTTTTTATATATATATATATATATATATATATATATATATATATATATATATAGGTTGTGATCCTTTTAAGTTCATAGATTAATGTCTTGGTAGCCTCAGAAACCGACTAAGAAAACTACCAAAAAACCTTCTTTAGACACAGCCTTTTTTCAATGTCATCTGAGACCATCCTCAGGGGACCAAATTGTCTGTGAATGTATATATAAATTGATATGATATGTTTAGATTGTTTAACCAAACCTGTCTGGGTGAAAAATATGCTGCCTAAATTCATATGTATATATATATATATATATATATATATATATATATATATATATGTGTGTGTGTATGTGTGTGTGTGTGTGTGTGTGTGTGAAGGTTTGCTATATTTATTGGTAGAAGAGATCAATATCAGATATAGAGCATGTAAATAAAAAATACAAAAGTGGACAATATAGTCAACAAATGGGGACAGTGTTTCATGCTAGCACCTGAAGGTTGCAAGGTTACATTCAACCAAGAAACTGAATGTTGGTACCTTGTGTCAACCTCAGTGTTCACTTTTGTGTGTGTGTGTGTATATATATATATATATAGTAAGTATTTATCCAAACAAGTTTTATTAAAGGCAACTGCCAAAATCAGTGTTTAATTTTTTTAAGCTTTTGAATATAATGTTATACATATTGGGATTAACATTGTAGATAAACTGTTCAAAGTTATACTTTATTCAAATGCTTTCAACCATCTTAGTCATTATCAAGAACTGGATGTTGTCAGTGTGTTAGACAAGATTTTGTTGGTTATATCAGCATTTCCACATTGTTGAAATTCAGATCAGTCCAAAGTGACATCATGTGTGATGGATAAATTGAGCAGGACTGTACTAGAAAAGCATTAATAATTAAATTAGATGCAACGTAAAACTAACACTTAACAATGATTACCCCAACCGTGACTTCAGCAATTAAATAAAATTAGCTTTAAAGAAACCTAGAAAAAATAACAAGCAATCATCCTGAGAACAACAAAAGTAAAGACACATTAACTTATTGTTCGGGTGCATCTGGCCATGAAAGAATAAGATGGAAAAACTATTAAAAATATAATTTACTAGCATATATTACTTCAGGGTCTCAACAAATGTTTTAGATTTATAATTTGCTATAAAAAAATTCAAAACATCTAACCTAATTGTTACCAATACCAAATCTCAAAAATCCACTAATATAAAAATTTTTTTTTATAAATTCTCATGTCCTCTAATAGATTGAATCTCCAATATCAAAAACAACATTAGATTCTTACATTGGCCACACATGCACCACACTCTTGTAGCTTGACTTGTCACTTGTTGAATTTGTGCACATCCTGATCATTAGATCATAAACTACTACTATGAACATAAGACAAATAGTAGATAGTACCAAACTGCTAGACAGGAAAGAATCAAAGTTCCTGCAAGCCATTATTATACAGAAGAAACAGCCTATATTAAATAAAATAGCCACAAAAGACAATATCTTGAAGTTTGTACAAAATATTCAATATACATGTAAAATAATATCTATAAATATTTGATAAGTGTTTTCTGGTGCAGTCAAGCTCAATACATGCTGTCACTTTGGACTGATTCAAATTCTGACAATGTAAAAAAATGCCAGGATGTAATAAAAATCTAATCTACCACACTGAAAACATCCAGTTCTTGATAATGACATAGATAGTAAAAAAAACAAAAAAAAAAACACATGAACAAAATGTGAACTTTGGACAGTTTATTCACAATGTTGATCCTTATTCAAAAGTTAGGAAAAAAAAAAAAAATTAAACGCATAGACCTTGTGGGTTGAATTTGTTTGGAGATATATATGTATTTACAAATGTAGTTCATTTTGGTTACCTAAATGTAGCAAAGTATTTTTATCGCTTCAGACAAGTTTAAATTGGTACACTAAATCAAGTATAATGATTAAATTAAATCAATTTTGTTGCTGCTGTTTATATATGTATTATTATTTTTTTTTTTTTTGTGTGATGTTGGATGGTTTCACTTGACACTTTTGTTATGTCAAATGAAAGCTCGTCATCACTTCCAAAAATGCTTGTTATATTCAAGACTCTGTAGACGCTGGTTCTAGTAGTAATACCTTCCTTCTGATATCTGCACTAGTAATACTTGTTCAAGTAGTAATCGCCAAATAGGATAATAATCAGAAGAGAATCGCAATCTGTATAGTAGTAGAGTAGAGAGAGTGAATGTATAGCAATAGTGGATAGACAAGAAGAATAAATAATGATCATATAATCATCACACTACTTCCTATTTATTCGCTTCCTTTATGATCATGTGATCTACTTAACAATAGAATCATCTGTGTTACTCACTTGCAATTTAGTTTCAAACCACAGTGTCAGCAACGACACTTACTCTTATACAACAGTTTTAAACGAATCCTAAAATAAAAGATTAAAATAAATAAGAGGAAGCAGGATGAAACTCTAGCAAAGGAAAACATTCTAAACTCCAAAACTAGAGCAAAGCTAGAAAGTAGAACCCATGTCATAAGTTCAGTAAATATTTCAATGTTTAAAAATGGGAGACATTGACAGAAAAATAAAATAGAGAAAAACAACTTTGGGATCAAGATTTTAGCAATTAGAATAGAACTGAATATTTCCATTTTTATGCCAACTATTCATGGAGAAGAAAGAAAAAAAACTAAATTGAAAATGTATTTGTCACTGGCTGGCTTGACTGATTTTTGCAAAATATTTAAGAAATTAATACTTTGTGGAGAATAAATTTATTAGGATTTAATTTCTGAATCAAAACTATTGAGAACTAATAATGTTTCAGAAAGTAATTCAAATGTTGAGACAGTTTCTAAAAAAACAAAAAAACAAACAAAGAATTAACTGAGCAGAACAGAGATAAGCCACGAAACATCATATGCTAATGATAATTATACATTACAACATTTTCAGAAGATTATTTTAAATACAATTGAGGGTAAAATGCAAGAAGCTATAAGAAAAATGTTTAAACAGGTGAGACAAAACTATTTAAACCAATATTTAGTAAATTGTTCTCTATAAAACAATGTCAAATTTCTATAGAACTGTAAATGCTGATTATTATTATTATTATTATTATTGCCTATTATGGATGACAATGTAATTTAAGAGAAGACAGTACCAACTAAATATACCACTTGATTAAGAAGATGTTTCTAGTGTGAGACTTACACAGAAAAATTACTTGTGTCTAGATCTACCCATTATTAGACAGTGATATACCAAATTTCAGAAGAATTTTGTTGAAAAACAAATATCTAAATTCTCTTCAAAATGAAAAGCATGAACATTTTTACATTAGATGTTTCGCCTTGATATTATTCAGGTATAAATTTGTAGCACCACGAAATTAAAATAAAACATTGTTTAGATTT